TAGGTTAGGTTAGGTTAGGTTAGGTTAGGTTAGGTTAGGTTAGGTTATGAATTAAGGTCCTCTGAATTACAACATCTAGACATGAAGCAAATCCTATTTCAAACTTGATCCATCATAAGGAAAACAAAGGTAACATAAAAACAAATTTTAATTTAATAAGGCTGCCATAAACTTCAATAAAAATTTATCCTGTCTGCGAAGTTTGATTATGTCTTTCATTAAAATATGTCAGCTGTTTCTCTTCCATTTATCGCCTCATTCTACCTCTTAAACATCCCTTAAGCTAAACTTAAGCAAATAATGTTATTCTGATGTTTTGCACACTACAATGTTTTATTATTCTTATTTGTAGGAAACATATGTTCAGAAAAAAATAGTCTCTGAAATTGCATCAATTTAGCAACATTCTAGTAATGGCAAACATCAACATTTGCATTCTGACAAAAACTATACTAAAATATTAATTGCCCAGCCATTGGAATTCAAGTCCAGCATCTATACAAAGAAGAAGTCATAATGGAATAGAAGATTAAATAAATGAATTGCTCATCCCCCCCCCCCCCCCCCCAAAAAAAAAAAAACCTTTCCCAACCCTTGTCAGAATAACAATAATTGGACATTATTTTTTCACTATGTTTCTTTAGAACAAATCTGAGATTATTTAAAGAGTTAATGCAGATCAGAAAAGGGAGTTAATATTGTAACAGGTTTATTGGCTTGAAATAGAAACATAAGCTGTAGGAATAATAACCCACTTACTTGTATTGAGCACCAGAATCCAAGAGATAGATCTCATTCAAGGACAAAGTTCTATTTGTTTCAGGGGAAGGCCTATTCAATAATAACAATACAAATTTAATATTTCAACATCCTGTTTCAGGAATACAGTTTGTGAAAGTTATTGCTTAAATTATACAGTTAGATGATTAACTTGCTTAATAATAACACATTTGGTTGGTCTGTTACATATAATATCAGTAGCCTGGGTATCTATAAAGTTCATGTATAACCAAGACCTGGATGGCTTGGAGGGGCTGTTCTCTCTCAGAAACCTGAGCTCAGAAATCCAAAGCTCAGGGCAGAGCTGGTACAGTAGCTACTATCATCCAGTACACACCTGTTTCCTTGAGGAAGAAATTTTTCCTGCTGATGTTAAATAAGATAGTGGTTAATATCATCCTCAAGAAGCCATCACTGAACTTAACCACATTGGAAACTTCTATCCTGTCTCCAACTTTTTCTTTTGGGGAAAGATAGTTGATAAAATGGTTGCCCTACAGCATCAGGGGACCCTGGAAGAAGGAATTTATCTGAACTCCCTTTAGTCAGGTTTCAGAACTTTCTTATTAAACAGCATTGACTGCTCTTGTGAATAACGTCTAGCCGGAGCAGGATGGGTCTGGTACATCTATCCTGTTCTCCTTGATCTCTTCCCTATCAAAGTTCAGTTGTAGACAACCAAATGAGGTTATGGATGCTGAGGGGGCCAAAAGGGAAACTGCAGGCTTTAGGTCAACTCTTAACAAGACTGAGTGGCATTGAATTTGAAGGTCCTTAGATCTGGTGATTCTTCACTTGCTCCACCCAAATGGAAAAGGTCACAGTTTGGGATTCCTCCTTGACTTATTCTTACAGGAACGCATGGAATGTGTCTAGGAGAGTTTTATAATTCTTCTTTGGCACTAATTACATCATTTTCTGAACTAAGAGGCACTAGTCAATCAATCACAGCTTGGTCACCTCCTAAATAAATTTGTCTGTTTCCCAAGTAAACTGAACAAGAAATACAATCAAGTGACCTAATTCCATTTTATTCTCAGGCTACAATAAAGAGAATCTTACATCTTAAAATTCAAATCTCCTGCCATCATTTTTAACAGTTTTAATATTAAGGCATATCCTTTTAAAGCAGGGCTGTCAAACTCGCAGCTTAAGGGCCGGATGCGTCATACACTGGCCATGTCCATGCCCAGTTTAGCGAAAGGGGAGGAAAGTTCAGTTATGTCACATACGCCACCATGATGATGCGAGTCATCATCATACGCCGCCACGATGATGCGAGTGTGACATCCATGTTTCAAAGTTTCTTTCTTTGCCCATTGAGCATTGAGAACTCCTTATCTTTTTATCTGATAAGTTCCTAGACAGTGTCTTTTCCCCTTGTCCCTCAAAGACATTCCCACATATCATTACAGAATTATTGCAAGGCTGTCCACATATGGCTGCTCTTGAACAACATCTGGAAGCTTTAGCTGATCCAGAATGCAATGGTGTGGGCAGCTATGGACTCACTTTGATGTATTCATATTATACCTCCTGCACTGCACTGCACTACACTGCACTGCACTGCACTGACTCCCAATATGCTTTTGGGTCAACTCAAGGTAGTATTATCATCTACATAGTCTTTTGCAGCATTATTAGTGCGATGTTTGTTTGTTTGTAAAATTTATTACCTACACGGTAACGCTCCCTGATCATTTCTACCTATCCCCTTCGATCAGAAGGAAAGATATTCTGCAGGTTTCTTCTACTGGAAGAATATAATCTTGTGGAACCAAAAAGTGAGATTCTTCTGTCAAGGCACTTGTCCTTCAGAACATCTTATCTCCCAAGATTAGATTAGCCCTGACTCTGTCAGCCTCCCAAAGAGCTTTAAAGATTTGGAATTGTTCCCAGACACTGGATTAAGGCTAGCTGGACCCTTGTGGGATGTTCATAGTTTATCAGATGTGGGGGTTTTTTATCTCAGCACTTATTATAGATTTTCTATATTTTTTATTTAGTTATTATTTTGTATAGTGTTTTTATATGTTGTTAAGCTACCCAGAGTCGCTATGATGAGATGGAAGATGGAAGGCTATAAACATCAACATAAATATTGGCAATTTAATTCCTTGGATTGAACTATCATGTAATGCATTGTATTTATATACTTTCAAAAAAATAGGTAAATGTGGAGTAAGCTGCCTAGATATGGCAACTCCTTTTCCTTCATCATTAACCATCATTTAAATCAATTTTAGTTTCTATTCTAAAGCAAGCACTCTGACCAAAATTCAGTTGTTCACCAAAGCTATTTTTAAATCTTCTTTTAAAAGGGCAAATTCTAAGTCATGCAGTCCTTGGCAACAGGGATAAGCCTTTCCTCACATTTTGGACATCTATAGCAACAATCACAAGCATTCCATTTTAACAGTTTCTCAGTAATAATTATGAACACACAAATAGGCAGCACAGAAAGCAATCTTAGAGCTGGCTTCTACTTCTGGCTGATCGTGGCACTGGTCACATTCTTCTTTGTTGCTTCTCCCACACACAGGTATAAAGAAAACTCAAGACAGTATGAAGATTCTAATTCTCTAATACCTATGTAAATTAAATTGCCAGAAGTCTAAAATAATTCTATCACCAATGGAGATTATCATTTCAGGTCTAAGAAGTGACATATTTGATGAATTGAAATGCAAAGAAAAGGTTTGCTCATCACAATTCAGTTATAGTAATCAATTTATCCCTTAATTTGAATTAAGCTGTTAGATAGCATCATGCTAAATGTCTTTTTGGTTATATAATCAACAGTTAAGTGTAAGACTTTTATTGCTCTTACTTGTAGTGAATGATAGCACCATTTGGGCCTGTACTTGAAATGGTAGCAAAGCTCAAGTCAACAAAGTTCTCTTGCTGCCTGAAAAAGACATACATTTCATTAAGAAAAACCAAATCACTGGAAAAGGCTGATTCTTCCTAGCCATATTTCCTTCAACTGCCTCTTCTGCACTCTATTTGCCTATTCTTTTTTGCTCTTTTGTCATTCCCACTTAGCTGGGTGAGATTTGAAATGCTAAGGACTATTATAGGGAGAAGGTACGCAACTCTGAATACTAAGAAACAAAGGCCAACCAAAGTCTTCATCTTTCACTGCTCCAGTTCAGTGAAGTGATGTGGAATCTTGGAGATGTGGAACTGAACCACTTAGTTATGCAAGCCAGGACTTGTTCAGTTTATTCTAGAACAATGGTTCTCAACCTGTGGTCCATGAATCCCTGGGAGGGACTATGATGTCTTCACAGACGGTCTGCAAAGGATTGAAGAAATGTTATGATTTAAATCTTGAGTTAAGCCTTGGGGTCTGTGGCCACAAAAGGTATTTAAAGCGGATCCATGGTGAAGAAAAGTTTGAGAACCACTGCTCTAGATTAATGATAGGTAGGAAATCAACCAAAGTGTGGAAAACTGAAAGGGAAGGGGAATTAGGTGCTAGACTAATGGTCCCTTTAGGGTCTCCCTCCACTAACAACATTTAAGTGTTAGCTGGAGTGCTTCAGAATAGGTTATATATCCAAGTTTATTAATTTTGTCTTAAAAGTAGAGTTGAGTTTACAATCCTCAAAACACTGTAATTTCTAAAATAAAAATGGCTAAAATTTTGAAAGACCGCCAAATGGTACAATATATCTGCTCTCACATGAAAGCTTAAGAGATTTCATGACTTATTTTTAAAAGAACACTTGCATTTTTTGGCATATGCAAATGTTTTCATTTTTAGCAAGTGAAATCATCTAACAGTCCCTGCCATCTCTACAGTTTGCTGAACCCATGACATCCCACGTTACTCTTTTTTCTTACCTACGAAATTCCTCTGCTTTATCTGATGCTATGATTTCCGTAATGTTGCCTTTGGGAACCTGGCAAGCATCAGACAAATTTGTATTAAATCAATAAAATAGCATATCCTCAATCATACTTTTTAAAAAAAATTCTGCATACCTAATTTTTTTCTTTTTTAAAAAATATTTTTTTTATTTTTACTATATAAAGAAAGAGCAACAGTTTCAATGTCTATATGAACAGAGTATTTTCCAGTCACAATCAATTTGAGCAATAGTCATCATCATAACAGTAACAATGTTCATTAGCAGTAATCATATAATAGTATTTTCAGAACATAACATTAATACTTGTCAGTACTAAATCATATGAATAATTAACATATCAAAATATACTCTCATAGTAAAATTAATCCTTCTCTTATCATTTTAAATGTTCTAACTTCTGTTTCTGTGCATACCTACATTTTTTCTAACATGCCATGGTTACCAGACTTTGGTATTTTCTCAACTCTTAACATCTACATAGCTGGATATAAAGACTAGAAGTGTCACCCAGCAGTTAAGAGTGAGGTAGCATCAATTTGCAGGTGATACCCAGTACCTTCACTCTGTGCCAAGTGGAAGATGACAGAACACACAATGCCTGAAGACCTTCAGGATATGAATGGGAAGAAACAGGCACAGCCTCAACCCAAACAAGACAGAATGGCTACTTATTAAGAAGCTTACTGATTGCAGGATAATAGGTTGTGCTCCCCCAGAGAATGAAGGCCCATAATTTGATGGCCATTCTGGACTCATATTACACGAAAGGCCTGCATAGTTCAAGGTTGGCTATATTTTTCCTAGATCCATGATGCTGTTATGCTATTCATTTAAGTGTTCACTCCAAGTAATGCCCCTCTCATAACAAAAGTCCGTAAAACTGTACCTCCTTCTCCAGCCAATTAAATAGTTCACACAATGCAACAGCATCTTTAATCTGTCATTAAAAGAAGAAACAAAACAGTTAAAAGCGTAGAAGAATTTGGAAGAATCGATCCAGTGGTTAACATATATGTTTCAGCAGTCAATTGCAATGAAAGCAATTCTTCTCATTATTTCAGCTTTTTGCACAGAAGGATGTTGCTTTAGGAAATTGGGAATATCACTTACATGAGCTTTCCTCATGCCTTCAGCTTCCGTCATATTCTTTACAGCTTTTGCTATGCAGATGGGAGTGTAGGGGGTGAGGTAGCGGTGATCCTGAAACATGGACAAAACGAAAAAAAGCAGAGTTTGATCAGGCCTCTAAGTACTTAATGGTTCAGGTGTGGCATGGCATGGTCACTGCAATAAGCTACATTTTCTTCAATATCATATATGTGCTTGGATCATAATCTGGTAATTTATTCATTCCCAGACTCTATCTGTTTTGCATTTATATCCTTCTTGACCAGAACTCAGAGCATTAAAATGCTAAAAGATAAGAAACAAAAGATGGAGCTATTAAAGTATTTTGGCTCATTTTTCTCCCGTGTGTGAGAGACAGCAGAATAAGCAGCAATATTGTAAACAGCAGAATAAGCAGCAATATTAAGGCTTGAAATTGAGGGACATAATCTGGGAATAAATATTTAACCAAAAATTTAAATCCCCTAGGTCAGAAAAACTGCATAATAGATTGCTGAAGAAATTTCCTAATGGCCTTGCCAAACCTTTATGTATCATCTGCAGAGAATACTAGAGAACTGGGTGGCAACTAGAAGAAAACAAATTTTGTCCCTATATTCAATGAGGGGAAAAGGAAGCTCTAAGGTACACCAGCATGGATTAATCAAGGAAGACTACCAGATCAGTCTTATCTCATTCTTTTCTTCAAAAAGTAAGGCAACTTTGTTGAACATCTAAATATAAATTCATTTCAGGAAGGCATTAAATACAGTTGTCCATGATGTTCTGATTAGCAAACTAGTTAAATGTGTCACTTAATTAACTGTAAGGATTGAAATTAAGAATAAACAGGTTCACACCTTGATCACATAACATTTTTTGTATTAGTGACTTAATGAAAAAGTGGAGGGGATGCTTCTTCTATCTGCAGATGATAACAGTTGGGTAAAACAGATGAGGGAAATCAAAATGATCTTCATAGATTAAAGAAAAGGGCTGAAGTTAAGAAAAAGACATTTAAGCGAGACAAATGCAAAAGTCCTGATTTAAGAAATCAAGTGCACCAAGAATACGGAACTTGATTAGTGTATTTGTAAAAAGGGTTTTGGAAGACTCATTGTAAACTGAAAATGAGTCAGTGGTAAGATATGGCAACAAAAACATACAAATGCAATTTTAGACTGCTGAGTTTCCTTCTTATCAGAATTGTAAAATAAATATTTGATTTCTACAGCCTGATCCAAGACTCTCTCTGTGCCTCTCTCTTTCTCTCTGTCTCTCTCATTCTCTCTCGCTGTCTGTATGAATGTATGTATGTCTCTCTCTCTCTCTCTCCCTCCCTCCCTCTCCCTCAGATGCATCTACCTGTTTTTTTTCTAATCCAACACACTTCTTGAATAAATTCTTTTAACATACTAGTCATTTCATCCATCCAGAAAGCATTAGCAGCTTCCAAGATCTTGGCTTCAGACATAAATTGCCTGTTAGCATGTACACACCTTGGGGATGGCCTGAATTAGAGCATAGCTGGCTTTATCACTGAGCCAAATTTTCTCATGTGGAGACAGAGTCTCACAAATTGATTTCATAACATTTAGGATGGAATCGTATGGCAGCACTTGAATGTGCAATTCGGGGTCCTGAGCAGAATCCAGAAACAGATGCTCTCTCACATGTGTGTCTACTAAGCGATTGCCATCAATAAACAACCTAAAAGAGAAGAGTGGGGAAAAAAGCAAAAGATGACCTTTCTGGGATAACCTGCACCTTTAATAAAGGGGAGACAACTGTGTTTTTACATTTACAGTATGTAGGGTAACTGGGAAAGATTTAAAGAGCTTGATATCATTTATTGATAAATTACTACAATGTCTTTAAGATAATACTTCTCAGAAAAGTAAATTTAAGCAATATTACATAGGGATGATATCTAAATCAGATTCTATTCAGGGTACAGTTTACTGTTATTCAAACTCTGATACAATACATAACATTCTGTTCAATTCTCCCTAAAGCACTTTTTAAACTCAAGTAACAATATAATGCCATCTGGTAATTTTAATACAATGTTTCTACATAAACAATGTATGACTAAAAAGTGATGAAATCTATCAGTTGCTGGATAATAGCAACAGCACTTAGACTTATATACCATTTCAGAATGTTTTACAGCCCTCTCTAAGTGGTTTACAGTGTCAGCATATTTTCCCCAACAATATGGGTCCTCATTTTATCAACCTCAGAAGGATGGAAGGCTGAGTCAACCTTGAGCCAGTTAGGATCAAACTCCTGGCACTGGGCAGAGTTTCCCTGCATTCTAACCACTGCACCACCATGGCTCATAATGTTACCGTTAATGAAATCTAAGACAAACATGAAGCAGAAATTATCACAGGAAATCAATCAAGAGCTTCAAAAAATAAAATAAAATTGCTTCATGGGCTTTTAACGCATCATATATTACAGCCATTAATGCTGATTTGGAAATACATATACTTAATACAAATACTTTATTTTTAAAGATTTTATGTACATTAAAAATATGGCCCAGTATTAGTAAAACTAGTACGAAAATTCTTACTAGTAAGTTCTTCTTACCTGATAGTGTCTATCCCTATGATAGCATAAGCAAAGAATACTGGATTGTATTCCACATCAGACCCTCTAAGATTAAACAGCCCTGTATCACAATAAAAAGACAATGTTATAGCCTTGATTAACATTCAACCAACCTTTTAACCAACATCCTGATCCAGATAAAATTTCTGGATTCTTTCAGGGCTTCTGCCACAAGATGGCACTGTTAGGCTGCACTCCTTCTTTCAAAGTTGTGTTTGGTACAGAAAACCAAACATTTAGAATCAAAAGACAACAAATTTAGTTTTGACCTGGCCTTCGTTCTGGATCCTGATTTATAGCAGCCCACCCAAAGCCTGACCACAGCTTTAGCCCTAGAAAAGTCACTGAAGATTTGGTTTAGGCAGACAAGCAGCTTTGCAGTTAGCACTATGCATGACTCTAGAGTCTTGGAAGAGTGGCAGCTCCAAGAAAGTACCCATTATCTTCAAGAGCTAGGGCTCACCTTCTGCTGAGTTGCTTAACATTACTGGGAACTACCAGCCTCCTTTTATTCATTGTTAATGGTATTGATCAACCAATTCCTCTGATCTCTGCATTTCAAAAGGACTGCTACTGAACAGCTAGATTTTCATACTGCACTAAATCACAGTGTGGTTCTTTAGATCTGGGATGATGATGTTATGAAAAGTCAGCTGTGTGATTTATAAAGCTTGGCTTTAGACTCACTGTATTTTATAAGTCCAGCCTATTATGGGTTTTTTTCAACAAGCTGCGATTAGGCAAGCCATGGCATAAGAAAAAAAGGGAGTAATAGTCCGGACATATTGCTGGACATATTTTCACTGCCAATACCCAGAAATCACTCACTAAAGCAATAAAATAATGTTGAATGGCTCACACTGATACTCACAAGCCACATCATCCAAAGCTGTCACAACAAACCAGAGAGCCTTCCTCTCAGTCATTTTGCCCCGCAGAGCTGTAATCTTTTCTCTCCAACTGATCCCTGCAACAGACAATTGAAGTTAGAACTTCATGAAGCTGGAATTTAGACATGTGCACAACGAACAACTTCTTGCTGCAAATGGGCAGCATTAACTCTATTTCAGACCTATTTCTATGAGTTAGCAAATATTAAAGTCACAATAGTGGTTTTGAAATCTCATGCTGCCCCATTCCATTTCCTGTGCCTTTGGTCAAGATAGAATTTAAAAAGGAGCCTGCTGACCTGTTGCCTGCCAAGATGTTGGCTAAAATAAAAATCAGAAAATTTGGAAGGTTTCATGTTGGAAAACCATGTTCAGTGCTGTATCCACAAACATGTTTGGATTCCTCTTACCTGTGAAGCTAAGATCTAGCGTCATCAAAGGCTTACAAGGTCGTGGTGGCCGATCTGCCCATATGGCATCAATCAAATTAGCTTTGACTGGCACAAGAACATGGCCAGCACATTTCAGAACTTTGTTCATTCTCTTCCACTGGTCTGAAAGATGCAGAGAGAAACAATGTGTTACATATAATGCATTCCTGATATGCATATACATAATTTCCATGTAACACTACTGTTGCGCAAACTGCATTGGTTGCTAGTTTTCTTTTGGGTCCAATTCAAGGTATCAGTTATCACCTGTAAAGCCCTCCATGGCATAAAACCAGGCTACCTGAGGAACCATCTCAAACCAATGGGATTGGTCCACCCCACTTCCTTCAGCGGATAGGGCATGCTGCAGACCCCCATCCTGCCAGTTAACTGTGCTTTGCTATCCATCATCCAAAAGAAAAGTTAGTAATACTTGATAGAGTGCCCAGATTGTTGGGGGCAATATGCTGACTCTGTAAACCACTTAGAGAGTGCTGTAAAGCACTGTGAAACAGTATATAAGTCTATGTTGTATTTCTATTAGTATATTACTAACTGCACACTGAACAACGTTGATTGGTGAATAGTAGATCAGGGTAAGGTGGGAAAATTTAATCCTTTACACTAAGTTGAAAGCACTGGGTCCAACTCACCAGCAGGAATAATAGAAGGATCCACTCCAACTTTGGAACCTTGAGGTAGCACGCTTACAAGCCAGTCCTCTTGAGTAGGAGTGTCTTTCAATCCTAAGGAAAGGAAATCCCAAGAGACAAGAGTGCAAACGTTAAAGCAAGACCAGTTCAAAAGAAGATGAACTGGATAGGATAATCACCTTGCTTCCTACATGGAAATCATTGCATTCTCTTGGATGGGCAAAAGAAGTCTGAGAAAGTAAAACGCAAGCCCTATTTCTGTAACATTCACATGAACTAGCAGTGTCAACATTCTGTTTAAAATAGTATGATGATGAATATTAATTTTACTTACTTTATTCTGATTTCTGCCTGCAGGCTACTCAGCATGGCAAAATCAGGAATTACACGGTGTCAACTAACAACAAATGCAACTCGTTAATTAAATAACTTATGTTTATATAATGTAAAGTACTGTTTCAGACAAAGCAGGTATTCATGAGATTAGGCTTAAGGCCTTCATTGTTGTAGCATGTCAGAGAATAACTTTACAAAAAGCAGGTAGAACTAAAAAAAGTCTAATTTCACTTACATGAATTTTATGACTTAAATAGAATGTGTTCTATCCTTAATAATTATTCCCTTTTGTATATTACAGATTAGTTTGATGGCATGCCAATAGAGGTTTCTCAACATGACCCTGTTGGCCACTACTTAGCTAAAATAATTTTTCTGGGTAAGATGAAATAAAACCTTAGTTTGGGTTCACACATACCCATCTTCATGAGTATCCAGTTAGAATCCATTTGTTGAGATCCCTGAAGGAAATAGCGTCCATCTGTCCACATAGCGGCATGTTGCTCTGTTATAATGGCAGTTCCTGTCAGAAAGAAGAAAAGACAGCAGAACTGAAACTACAGAGACACTGGCAGACATTGGTCTCAGTTAATAAATCCAAGAAAAGAAAATATTAATCAGATGTTAACATCTCAAGGCCAGATGGAGTTTTGGAGTTCTCGCTGAAAAAACTTCTCTTTGCCTGCTAAGCCAAACCACTGATGACACTAATAATGAATGTCCTTTGGTATTAAAAAAAATAATCATTTTTTGGTAAATCAATGGAACGTTAGGTATATGAAAAAGAAATGCTGATCCTGTAAACCAAAGTTCTTTGTGTCAAGGCAGAAGAAAAGGCTGGAAATAAAAGATAATTAAATGTATCTGAATGGTCACTGGAGATCAAACCATTAAAATATGTCACTTCAGCAAGTAAGGGAAAATGCCAATTGGAGCATTGTGAGAGGCAATTTCCTCTATGATTAAAGGGTGGGGAATCTATTGGATGATTTGCTTTCTTATAATTATAGAGGTCCACCAGAGCTATATATACTGACTTGTTAATTTGTTGATCTTATTTTGCTTAGCAGGCAAACGGAAAGCCATAGAAAAGGTGACTTGACAACGTTAGCACTGCATGTTAATCAGTGGCACAGCTTGAAACTAAACCCAGATCTTAAGACTACAGTGCAATGCTTGAAGCCACAGGAAATGTTGCTAAACAGAACATGCTGTTCTGATGCAAGACTCACTCTCTTACACACACATGCACACAAATAGAGGGAGGGAGGGAGAGAGGGAGACAGAGGGAGGGAGGGAGACAGAGGGAGGGAGGGAGAATTAGTGTTCAATGCTCAGTGATTTCAGATGCAGAAAATGTTCTTTAGGGAAACTAAACTTGGCTAACTGATATTGTTTACTGCAAATCCCTGAGTACAAGTATCCTATTTTCATAGGCCTTGGACAGAGAAAAAGGAAAGCTGCAAGTACTCTATGAAATAGCTAACAGGATTTTTGTTTTTTTGGAGAGTCATCTAAGGGTCAGCAAAAGCTCATTACTACTCTGATATTACATCACCAGTCCAGCTGGTGTGTACACTGAAAGGGGAAGCAACAATTCAAACCTTTCAAATCTTTTTCTGCCCAGCATGTAAACTGCAAAACCAAACAGTTCTTCAGAAATGAGCTAGTCATACATACATACAAATGATTATCAATAGTGTTGTAATTTCACGTCCCCAATATACGCAGGGGAAAGGGGGAAGGAAAGTCTCTAACTATTTCTAAGGCTGTAGTCTGATGTGTACTTACCCATTCTGGATAGACATGGATAGAACTGCACAATCTCATTCACTTTTATTTAGAAGTAATCTCAGTTAGGGATTACTTTGAATAAATATACATAGAATTTTATTTGAACACAAGAAAAAAAGAAAGCAGGATTGTTGGGGATGCATATGAATGTGGCCTGAAAGATTTGAGTGTAATCTATCCAGATATGCAATGGGTGCACAATCTAAAGTCCAGAAGTGACATGGAAAAAAAGAGTGGTCTGGAAAGATTAGAAAATGTGATCTGTTTCTTTTCTAGTTACATGTTTTCTATTAGGAATCAAAAAGAAAAAAGAAATGATTTTGTGCGTGGGTAGAAACAAAGAAAATAGGTGGTCCTACAGACAATCCTATTTATAGGATGTCCATCGTGAAAAGTCAGAAGTGAATAAACTCCCCATCTTTCAGCTTGGTCTTGTCTACAGCCTGTTCATCATTGGCCCATGGCCTTAACAGATTATCTATTATATGTGGTCCACAAAAATGTTGAAAAGTAGCAATATATCATCATATTCTTCAAGCAGGAAGTTCACATGTGGTATTCAAGAATGTTCTCTTAATCACTGAACGTGGAATTAATACATCAAAGTCTCTGAAAGAACTTTAAATAGTCAACTTGTATGGATAATTCTCTATGATCAGCTGATGTTTTATTGTATTAAAAATAAAATAAAAAATAAAGAAACTATCAGATTTGATGGACAACAACATTTTCCCAGTGAGGACAGGGATTGCCAAATGTTAAAAACAGATGACTAGAATGTCCATTTAATGCATCTGATGTATCTATATCATTCCACACATAACTAAATAATACCTCAGTGCATACCAGTGGCAGCATAAATACCATTTATGTATTTTATTCTATTCCATTGAGTATAGAACAGTTTATGCAGAGAGCATATTAACTTTTGATTTTTTTTCTTTTTAGTCATTTTATCTGGGATGCATGTTCTTTTTTTAATTCCAAGTGATATTTTGGGGACCGTATTCTACAGGTGTCTGTCTGAACATCTATATGTAAAAGCAGACAAAGGAAAGAAAAGAAAAATACAGGAGTTTAGCTTGTCTCTATAATTTAGTGAGAAAAACAAAGGGCCCCATTAAAGGCCCCATTCATAGAAAGAGAGATGTGGCATTGGATGCTACAGAGATACCAACTTTAATAGGCTGGACACAATTCTAGAAACTTACCTGCAGAACCATTAAATCCACAAATGAATTCCCTACGGCAGTCACAAGGTGCAATGTATTCACTCTAAGGAAGATAAAATAAAAAGCAAAACCAATGATGATCAAAGGGATGCAAAGTAATAGAAACTACATATAAATTAGCCTTGCTTTCCTGCTGTTTTTCTTTCAGTCTTGAAATACGCAGAGAAAGATATTATCAGATGTCTTTGTATCGTTAAGAATACCAAAAAGAATACAGTGGATCTATCTCAAGCTTTCCTTCTTCTTTCAATGTCAATTAAGTAGCATTACAATTGATACTTATATGGTAATTAATCTTAACTATGATGATCTAAAACATATTTATATCATTTTTAAAAAGTTATTTCTACTAACAGGAATTAAGATGTAGAGTTTCTTAGGTTGCTAGTCCTGGGAAACCTTTCCCTTGACAACGGATCTGGAGTGGCCCCAGGGTTCATTGCTGCCATGATAACCATAAACCAGATCCACCCTACTGCACTTTGCTTTCCATTGAAGAAGTGTTTGTCTACAAGAACTATGTAACTGTATGCAAGCCTCTAAAAGCTTGAATACCAATTATGTGATACTTGACAATGCCAAGTAAGCTTCAAATTGAAAAGTTTTTATCAAAAGACTGCCTCACTGAAATTATATCTTGTTGATGATCACCGATATCACAGCACAAATTACAATTGGAAACTCTGTTTGTTGCAGTCTATTTGGTGAAACAGCAACAGTTTTTTCTATTGTCTGGATTACTTTAGTGTTTTGTTTTGTTTTTCTGAATGGCAGTTCTCAAGCAGAAGACAATCCAATACCTGATGAGCATCTCCTGAGGGCACAATGTAGGCTTGAATGGGTTCAGAAACATATTTGGAATTTTTCATCACTTGCCGAAGCTGCTTCAGCAGTTCTGTAGTCATTTTCGGAAGCATGGTCCTATTAGAAAAACAAAAAGTTAAGAGCCCTGTTGATTTTGTTCTGAAGGTTTAAAATTCCAGAAAATTATCAAGTAGAATTTTTCAATTGATATCACTTGAATCTATATTTATAGCCTTTCCCAACCTTGCACAGTGCAGATCTGTTGAAATAGCAGCCTATTGAATTACCATTCATTGTAGTCTTGACTTGCCTTTGAAAATACTTTGTGTGTGCACACATGCCTTTGTGTCAACCTTGACTCCAGGTGCCAGCTGTTTTGAAAAGTCCCTGCAGTTTTCCTGGCAAGATTTCAGAAGTAGTTTGGCATTGCCTTTTTCATGGGGCTGAGGGAGGATGACTGGCCCAAAGTTACTCATCTGGCTTTGCGTCTAAGAAAAGATTAGAACTCAGAGTTTCCCAGTTTATAGAGTGGTGTCTTAACCACTAAACCAAACTCTCTATGAAAAGACTAGTGGACAAGAGAGAAAGAGAGCTCTTAGAAACACATTCTATATATTTGGGGAACAATAGAAAAGGCCATCAGCCTTCTACAATTAGTAGAATTCTTTGAGTTTTAGTCTTCCACTAAATGTCCAGTCACAGAAACACTGGAGTGGTTCATCATGGATCAAAGCTGGTTGCACAATTACTTCCTTGATAAACTCTCACAGATCTTACGTTAATCATCTTGAATTATTTGGCAGTGGATAATTGAAAGAGGGCAGCCTGGAAGAAGCTGTATATAAGGAAACATTTGGAATTTAAAAGCAGCAGATGCTTTGAGACATAAGAGAAGGGCAAGGACACAGAACAGGAAGGAAATAATTCACAAGCTGCTGCTGTTTTCAGTCGTAGGGAAAGTTCTGAGAACCATCACCTCTTCCATGTTACTACATTTCCTTGCCATGAATAAATTGCAGGCTCTACAATTGTTCAAGGATTGTTTTCTATAGTAAGGGTGAATACTTGTTTGTTCTGAAAGTTTGAATCTAGTAATGTTAGCCATATTACGTTACACAATTTTGTCCAAATTCAAGGAAGCATATATTAGTAGTTAATGTGCTGGACAAGAACCAGGGAGACTCAAGTTTCAATCTGCATTCAAAATTTAGCAGGTAATCTTGGGATAGATTCTTAGACTGATTTCTTAGACTAATGTACCTCAAAAAATTATTGACCCTCTGGCATACACTAGTCCTGGAGCTGATCAATAGTTCCAATCTTGAACGGGCAAATGGTAGGTAGATAGACAGACAACAGTCTGTCTTAGACAGCAAGCAGACAAGAAGGGAGGCAGGCAGATAGGAAGATACATAGATAGGCAGGCAGGCCAGCTGACCATTATTTTGGACATAGCAGTATGTCATTCATAGGCAGCACTGAAATGATACACTCCATATTATATGCACCTAATATTATACCACACAATCCTACTTAGTGCTTTATATTACAGAGTTTTACAATAAACTATTTCCCATAACCCCATCTAGATATTTGAGACCTAATCCTAGAGGGAAAAAATAAAACAGAAAAAACAATGAAGTTGCATTATCGCTTGCCATCTCTGTTTTCTCACAGACAAAACAAGAGTTAAGAACTAGCTCTTTGAAATGATTTTTTTTTCAGACTTTTCAGGCATCAGGTATACCTTTTGTTCAAACAAGCCTTATGTGACCATCATTCTTTTCACCATATGGCTATGTTGCATATAAGAGTATGGTGCACGGTATTTTCAGCCTTCAACTGATCAACAATGCTGGAAAATTGTTCCTTATAAGACTACTTTAATTAATGTTCTGCTTTGTCCTCACACAATTCTGGCAGATAATTATATATTTGGAGGCTCTAACATCAGCTGTGCATTCTCAAATGACTCTATTTCCTAAATGGCATAGATTTCACTGGACAATCAAATCAAATGTTTGCTACATTAAATGCTATTGACATATTTTAAGATTAACTGAGGATTGTATCTGAACAATTAATTTGGCAGGTGCTTGATACTCATTCAAAAAGCAGAAGACAGGGAAATCTGACATATACAGCAAAGTACTCACACACTAATTGTTGCTGAATAAACTTCTTCAAAGTCACTGTGTTTCACTTAGCATGGTGCATTAACTAGAAGGCGTTTTTCCTAATTCAACCATTTTTTTATCAAATCAAGGTAATTATAAGACAATATTTCTATCCCTTGGAGAACTATGATGTGGTAAAGTAGGTTTGCAAATTGTGAGAGTGTGTTACACTAATAATGCAAAAAAGAAACTGCCAGACAAAATTCATTCTTCTTTGGTAAAGGAAGGTAGAAAAGTCTGAGTTAGCATCTTGCATTTTCATCAAGTTTTTCCAAATTCACTGGTAACCACCATAAATCCTTTTTTCCTGCATTCTCTTTCAGGATTATATTTGTTATCCCTACAGAAGTTATGGTACCTCAACACACATTAGATCAACTGAAGTAATTGCTGTTCGACAGAAAGTTCACTGTTGATAAATCTGATTGCATATCCCCACTCCAATATGTACCACGGCCACTGATCAACTAATGAAGCAGAAACTGCCACTAGCAGGCAAGAATCAATTTGAAACATGGCATCTACTACACTGTAACCAAGCTTTTTGTAACACACTGACAATAATGACTGAAATACAATTTAAAAATTGAGCTATTAGATTTTGCTGATATGAGAATCTAATCCCCATCTTAGAATAATACTTTAATTTAGTAACGTTGTGAAAAATATGAAAGCAAATAAGCTAGAAATAAGACTAATGTTTCAGTAGCCTTCAGATACCTAGTATAATTCTAACCAGTTTTCCTTCTAATTATATATTCTTTTTTCTCAAATTAGTTTACTTTAGAACCACACTTTATAACCATTCTACTCCTAGATTCCTATTTATATGAAATAGGTGCATGACATAAAAGAAAGAAAACCACAGCTTCTTTCCTTCCTTCCTTCCTTCGTTACTTACTTAGTTATTTAATATTATTTTACATCTTCAAAAATTTATTCCTGTTCCTGTTTATATTCCTTGGGCTTGTAAGGCATTCTCTCATTTTTCTGCCAAATGAAACAAGCACAATGTTTCCAATAGATAGTTAGTTCCATTTTGGGAAGGAAGGAAGGAAGGGAGGGAGGGAGGGAGGGAGGGAAGGGGAAGGGAAGAACTTAACTTTGTTTTTTTATGTCATGCAGCTACTACCTAATCTGCATCTTTAAAGGATCACATTGATTTCAAACGATGTATCTCCAAGGCCTCTGCCATAATACTATTCAACTTCAAAAGGGCTGTCCTTTTTACTCCCTTTCCACTTCTTTGGGGTGAGTCTCTAAACCAAACTGCTATATTCTGAAGAATACAGATGATCTCCTCATTTCATACTATACACATTGCAGGCAGTACATTTGATATTAAAGTAACAAGCAATAACACAAACAATAAAGTCAAACAAAAATGAAATTAAGAATTTGTGTCTCTATAAAATAAACCTTGGAAAGCATTATACAACATCATCTATATGGTCCATATTTTACCTGTCCCAGGTAGTTATCCTTCCAAAACCCAAATTTCCCAGCCTTGGATAGTGAAATCACTTCTGTGTTCTGTTCTTGCTCTTCATTAACTCAGCAATGCCTGACAAAGCAAAGGGCAAAACTTCAAAGGTAGGCAGACTTTGGCCACAATAACCTCTTTCTTTTCATAATGGATAATTGCAGATAATGACTGTTGCAAAAATAGACTGTACCAGTTCACAATAGCAGAACAGAAGGCAGCGTGACATTGGGAGGGAGAGGAGGAGTAGGTTGGACTTCAGTCTAGATTATTCAGCCAGAAATCCCAAGCTCATGTCAAACTCTTAACATATTTCACAGGATTAGATTGTTCAGAACACAATAACCATATGAACTCCACTCAGTTGCCCGAAGCTATAGGCATATACACCAGCCTCGGGTCAACTTGGATCAATTTGTCATAATTCCAACTAACAAATCAGAAGGGTAGCATGCCAAAAGCCTAAAACTCATATAGAAAAAAAGAAAACAAATTTGAAAGAACCATGTGTATTCTATAGGAAGACACTGTGAGCTATTCAGAAGTAGAAAAAAAGATAAAGAAAAGTACTTATTCATTAACTTTTGTTCCAGGAACAAGTACCACTTAATGCCCTTGATATGCTACTAACTAGTAGGAGGAATTCCATAAAAGGAGTATTTTTTTTCCAGGGCTCCCACTTGAACTCATGCCTCTCATTGCTACTGCAACTATATGAGACAGGAACATTCTTTTTTTCCCCTTCTAGTACAACCCCTGCTTTCTTTATTGCAGCTCAATCCGTCATCTCCCCAAGGAATTTGGCACAACCTACCACCTAATACTTGCAGCCTCCTGAGAAGTTTCCTTAATTTGAGCACTTCCTACACAATAATTTCATATTTCTTTGTGAGTGTCCGCTTTGCTCCCCTTGGAAGGGGGATAATGAGGAAGAAGATGATAAAAAGGTCACCAGTAGATTAAAGGGAAGAGAGGGCACTGGAGGATACTTGTCATTCCAGCCACCACCTTATTTCATCTCTATTTTTATTATATCCTTGCTCACTTTTGTAGTGAAATAAAAAGTTTTCACAGTGAAGCCAAAGTGGGCGGGGGGGACTCCAATTGCTTCTGAATTAAAAAGTGATAGTGACAAAGTAAATGGCACTTTGCTTTGAAGAAAGAAGAGCTTCCACCAATGGAAAACCACTGACCTTAAAACCTCAGAGAAAATGTGGCAATTATGGATTTGCAGTGGTGCCTCTGAGGCTGGAATGGGATAATTTACCAGAGCCAACTCGCTACAGCCAACTTGCCATGGCCAACTCACCATGGCTAACTTGCTGAGGGATAATTCACCACTGCTAACTCGACACGGGCCAATTTAACAAATACAATTTAATTTTATTTAAAATAAAATTCATGTTATTTTTTGTCATTCACATTTCATTCTGTCCTTCCTTTTGCATCCTTTCTTTAATGATTCTATTCCATCATTTCTTGCTATTAGTGTAACTCTTGTCCTGCAGCAAATTGTCCCACAGCGAATTGGCTGTGGCGAGCTGTCCTGAGGCAAGTTTGCTAAGACAAGTTGACTGTGATGAGTTGGCCATGGTGAGTTGGCTGTGGAGTTGTCATAGACCCCTCTGAGGCAGCACCTCAACAAAAGATAAGCAACTTAGCTACTGAAGATTTTGTCAAGACAAGCAATATGATTGGAATAGAATAGTGAAGCACCAAACCTAGATATGTACACCAATTTCGCATGGAAGGTGCTTTAGTCTAGTGTCTGAAGTACTGTGCTGCATGAGTTTGTTAATTGAATATAATTCCAACACAGCTTTTCTATATCAAGCAGTATATGAAATATAAATAAATTAAGTTAACAAGATCATACATTCAGTTAAATCGTAAGATATGTCAACATTATTAATCATCCAAAACCTATTCTCTTTGATTTGCCAGTTCGTGTCCAAAAACTAATGCTTGAAAGGTAAGCGGCAAAACAAGAGAATTATTTAAGTCTTCAGTCACTGAATCTTGTCTTTTTTCGCTTCAAAATTTTATTTAAAATGCCATTAGAAAGATGAACTCTTTGTTATATATGGAAAATAATGAAATGAGAGAAATACCAACTGTACTTTAGAAAGAACTGTCATTTACCATAATCCTTTCAGAAGCACAATTAAAACCAATGAAGAGCCCTAAAGCTATGAATATTTCGTCAGAAATATTGGATTTCAAATGTTTGTTCTTAGGGCGCCCACTATTTATCTTTTATATTGGAAAGTTAAGGGTTTGCATTGACTAATTAGTCATTTAAACATGACGGGGTCATGTTTGTTTAGAGTTTGGGATTGAAGAAAAGAAAACGTAATTAATGCTAGAGCAGATGATTTTTTTAGTTGTGTTTCAAGTGCTAGACTAGAAACCAGAAGACTATGAGTTCTACCTCTCCCTTAGGCTTGAGAGTCGGGTGGGTGACTTTTGGCCAGTTACCCTTTGTCAGACCAAGCCATCTCACATGGTTTTGGTGTGACGTTTATTATTTGTTTAAGGTCCTGTTTTGTTTTGTTTATTTTGTTGTTTATTATATCATTTTAGTGTTAGCTATCCGATGAATTTAGTAGTTTTTATCTGTTTTTCATGATTTTCTAGTTTGGTATGCTACCCAGAGTCCACTGGAGCGGGGAAGTTAATAAATTTAATTATATTCATCACAATCAGATAGATGTTTAGAGTGGGTTTGGTATTTTTATCTACCTATTGAGTTCTCCCAAGGACTTGGAATAGACAAATCTTGTTGGACTGCGTTACAGGTATTGTCGCAGGATGCAAGTTGTTCCTAGAAAGTGTATAACTGATTATTGCAACACCATCAGATAGTACAGTAGAAGACAAAGAATAACCCAAAATAAGAAGAACCCAAAATATCAAAGTTTGAAAAACAAATTAAATATGCCATCTAGAAACTCTGTGCATTGACAAAATTTTCATCTGTCGATTACAAAAGGCTAGCTGCTTGGATCCACATATATATTAAACCAATGTATTATAAAATACTACATTCTTAGGAAGAACTTGATTTGTACGGAAGCAAATGCCAGCTAAAGAACTAGCAGCTGTGACTGTACATTGTTGTGTGTATAATAAATAATATCCCAGGTCCTTGGGAAGGACTCGATAGGTGGCTAAAAATGCCATATCCAGTCTAAACATCTGGCTGACTGTGTAACCTTCCATAATAATAGGTGAGTTATATCCTTACTTAAAAAGGTAGGATATAATACAAGTAGTCCTTATGACCACAATTGAGACTAGAATTTTTGTTGCCAAGTGATGCAGTGGTTAAATGAGTCACTTGCCCAATAATATTACCTTTTTTGTTGCAATCTTTAAGTAAAACAAGTAGTCATTAAGTGAATCCAGTTTCCCCTATTGACTTTGCTTGTGAGAAGCCTCCTGGAAAAGTTGTAAATGGTGATCATGTGACCCTGGGATACTACAACCATCATCAATACAGTCGATTGCCATTTTGATCATGTGATCGCAGGGATGCTGCAACAGTCATAAGTGTGAGAACTGATCGTAAGTCACTTCTTTCATTGTTATTGTAACTTCTAAAAGATGGTTGTAACTCAGGGACTACCTGTAATATTAATAAGATTTAACAACTGTTGATAAGAAAAAGTCTGGAAAGGGATATGGCAATACCTGGAGGCAGCAGAATAGAAAAGAAAGAACTGAAGAAAATCATAAACTATGAAGAGCTGTAAATAAAGTAGAATGCCTTTTGCAAAACAAAGCAAAGATAATACCAAAAGGAATAGGTGCCTTGAGTGCAATCTCAAAACATCTGGAGCATCATCTGAACACCACTGACACTGAAAAATCACCATCAGTCAATTGCAAAATGCAGTTTTAGTTGGAACACCTCACATCCTGTGATGTTAGCTTTAAAAACCACCAGACAACATCTGTCACTCCCAGGTCCTTGGGGAAAGGCTTGATAGGTGGATAAAAATGCCAAATCCTAACATCTGACTGTGTGACCAACCCTAACAATAATAACACACACATGAAATCTTTTATAAAAAGCTAATTATTTCTGGGTTTTTTCAAACATAGTGAAATAGTGGAATTAATCAGTGGAACGACCTACCTCCAGAAGTTATGCTCCAACACTGGAGGTTTTTAAGAAGAGATCGGACAACCACTTGTCTGAAATGGTATAGGGTTTCCTTCTTGACCAGGGCATTCGACTAGAAGACCTCCAAAGTCTCTTCTAACTCTGTTATTCAATTATTATGTTACTAGTCTGATAGTATTGGTACCAACATATTTGGTACTTTTACCTATTATTTATACTTAACAGTGGATTCACTTTCCTAACAAATCAGTAGTGGATAAAGAACATCTCATATTTAGCCCTGACTCTAACAAAAATGTCAAAGACTGCTTCCCATAACTTGGTTCATATATCACACCAACCTGCCCAAACCTGAGGCCCACAAAGTTTTGCAAAATCTTTGCAAATGCTGACACCAAACTGAAGGCTTAGATATATGAAGAATTATATTTATCAAATCTAAGTGATCTGATCCAAATTAAATTTGGATTAAATCATAGATATGTTTCTTCTACTCATTTATCTTGGTTCTGTTTTTTTGCATGGGCCAAAAATAGTGGGGTGGGGGAATAATGAAACCTGTATCATAATGATACAAAAAAATACAATTTACCTCCTTGCATCAGATGTCAGGATGCAAGGACATATTGGCAATTTTGGACCATGGTGTGCATGTGTAAACTTTCTGATATAATGTCTATGGAGTTTCTCAGTCATCAAGGTCATGGTTGTCCCAAAGGTGGTTTTACAAGATGAGCTTCAAGAAGCTTCTTGGATAAGTAGCAAAACGTCTTCAAAGAAAAAACAGAAAGTCCAGTTGCCACTTGAAAAAGCACCTTTTTGACATAACAAAGTTATGAGGCAAGCCTCCTGGAACACAACTTGAAGTGTAAATTTTCCTTCAGCCTAGAAAGTACTCTGGGCCTTCACCACAATCCAAGTTGTGTAAACAACAGTGGCTAGGTTCATTCTTTCAACTAAATCAAAATCGCATCTTTGAACAGTTGACATTCAAAGGAAGCCTTTTTTGGAAGCTGAAGCTGGCCAGCAACATGCAAAGTACTTGGGAAATTCATTTTTCCATGAGATAGGTTCAATCAAAAATGCTAGTTAAGCAGGTAAAGCCCCCCTTGAAGTTTCTGAAATTTATTTTTGAATGAATACACACAGAATTAGAGAAAGCTATTCACACGTGTGCATTTATGGATGTCTTGGAAGAAATGTAGACACTAAATTGATTAAAACGCTTCCGGTTTTCTGGGAATTCCTGACATCTTAGCTATTCTGCTCCAGTCGCTCCAAATTAGCTTCATTTATATAACCCCTGCACTCCCATCTGGTTTATCATTGTTCGAGCCTCATTCCCAGGTTGCCAGGAAGCCCGCCGTGTGCTTCTTCGCCAGCTCACGAACGATTCCCATCCCGATTGGGAAAACAGTATCGCTCCCGCCTCAACCTCTGAATTTCTCACCTGATAACTTTGCAGGAAGGGGGCTCTCATGTCAGCGGTTCCGGAAACTGCCAATGCACTACTGACGTCTCGGACCTCGTGAACACCGGAGGGAGGAGCGACGATTCTCAGCGCTCGCCGTCTTTCTTCCCTTCCTCGGCTGGAGGCGTTCCCGTTGTTCCCATTGAAGTTTTCCCCGGGAGGACTGGCTCCTCCAGCGGAACGTTAGCATCCACCCGCTTCGTTCGCTTCTCCTGCAGAGCTGAGCCCCTTTCTTTGTTTTTGTTTTTAATCTTTTAAGAAAGCTGAGGAATTATGTGTTCACAAAGCGAGCGATCCCGGATGATCAGATGGAATCCGGAAGACAGAATCAAAAGCCAGCTACATTTCAGCTGGATGTGTTGTGCGAACGTAGCCTTGGTAATTTTTAAAAGCAAAGCTTTTACTACTCACTACAGCTTGGTCAACAAAGCAGGACTATATGAACCACCATAGCATGTTGTGTTAATCCGCCCATATTTCCGCCTAATGTGTTCAGTAGGCAGAGATTTAAATGGCGGTGCATTTCTTTTTACTGTCTCCCATGCTGTAGTCTATCTGTTATACTAAATTGGCAAGGTAGAGTACTCCCGGAAGGCACTCAACGGAGTGTCTTCCAAATATATTGGATCAGACCTCCCACCATCCACACATTTATTTTCCCAACAAATTATCTCCAGCTAGCATAGGATTTCTTCTGTAGTCTTAAAAAAATCTGGGAAACATCAGATTGCTGTAATATTTCTGAAGCTGTGCCTCTCATATAATTTTCTTTGGTTCTGTTTTTTTTTTTTTAAGATAAATGTATATTTTGAGAGGCAAAGCATTCGTATTGTTCAATTAGTCATTCCAAGTATGGCTAATTCAACTTTATTTGAACAATAATATAATCAGTTTCCTGGTTTCTAACCTGGCACTTTAACCACTAGACTGAACTGGCTCTTTCCTACAAAGCCATCAAGTGCTCAGTTACTCAAGCTCTAATATCTATCATCTGGACTACTGCAATGCACTCTACATGGGGCTACCCTTGGAATCGATTCAGAAGCTTCAGCTAGTGCAAAGTGTGGCAACTAGAGCAGACTTTGGGGCCCATATTGCATTTCTGCTCTGCAAACTTCAGAGCTACCAGTCTGCCTCCCAGGTGGTGGTTATGGCTTTCAACGCTCTTAATAGCTACTTGATGAACTATCTCATCCCACGGACAAGCCCATCCTTGTGCTGGCAGAGAGGGCCTTCTCTGGATCTCATCAGTCAAAGAACTCCAACTATCGGGTTCCAGAAGAAAAGGCTTCTCGCTTGCAGCACCCGCCCTTGGGTTAAGAAATGCCTCCACCCTTCTATCCTTCTTCAAGAGCCTGAAGACCTGGCTCTGCTGGTTGGCCTGGACACCAAATGGGAGCACACCATGCTGAAGGTGGCTACTGGATTCATGGCAGACTCCACTCCCTTTGCTTTGTGCTTTTCACCTGTCCATCTTTTTGTTATTGATGTATTCTCATTTTTTAAAATTCTATTTTAATTTTTTGTTCATACTTCATTTTTTCCTTCGTATTTTTGTAAGCCACCCAAAGTATCCCTGCAGTGAGAAAGTCAACAAATTTTACAAATAAATAAACAATCAAGAAGCTCAATATTGTAAATATGCTAGATAATGTCTCAAAGGCTTTTGCGTTTTGCTAATACACTAAAGTATTTTACATTTAGTGTATGTTTGTGATGTGTGAATTGCACAGATTTTGCCGTCAAAGAATTGATTGTTTTCTCTTTGTTGCTATATAGTCGTTTCTTAGATTACTATAACCCAGATAACATTCTAAACTGAGTTTTGTTATAATTGGCATGATTGCAAAGCATGCCTAGCCAAGCATGATCCTATCTTTCTACTGTTTTTGGTATGGGGGGGGGAGAGGATTTTTCTTTCTACTGGAATGCTTTGTTGGAAACTGCCTGGTTGGGGTGTTTTTGAGCTGGAGGTATCAGGGGGGATCTGTTTGTGCCCAGGTGTTTGCCTGGCTTGTGGTGTGGAGATTTTTTTGTTTGTGAGTGCAGGCTTCCAAATGATTGACAG